TTAAAACCCTTGTGGAATGATTGCTTTTCAGAGGTGTCTTCCAGATATAGCTGGTCTTTAGGTTTTGAGTCTCTAATGACTGAGGCTATCTCATTTTCATTATACCAGGAAGGACAACTGTTTAGACCAATCACAACACCTTAGCCCAAGTGATACAATCAGCAACACTATAGCATCAAATGCAGCTTAGAAAATGACAATTTGTGGTAGTTATCTATCACATTTAACTGTGTGAATTAAATCAAAACCGAGGACCAACTCAACATATGTCTATAGTGAATAAATTCTTCTATATCAACTGTTTAAATAAAAAAGAAACCCTTATGACATAAATTTTTTTTCCCCCGGTACCAGGGATCGAACTGAGGACCTTGCACTTGGAAGGCAGGCATGGCACCACTGAGCTAAATCCCTGGCCCCTTATGATATGAATTTAAAATAGCTTTTTAAATAGGTTGTCTTTCTTACTATACTACAAACATAAACTACCCATAACATATATTATTTATCTAACATTCCCTCCTCTAATCTTTCCAACTGAGACTGTCTATTCCTGGATGACTGTCTTAGCTACAAATCTGAAGTCTGAGCTAGAGATAAAAATAACTTTAATATTAACTAAAGTAATATATAAAGTGAGACTAGAAATCTGCCATTACTAATTAGTACTGGTTGAAAAGTTAATTTTACTAGAATAGTTGTAGTTATGTAACAGATGTGCATCTGCTTCTCTATAAATGTAATCTATTAAAAAATTTCTATCAATTTCAAACATCATCTGTGAAACATGAAATTGTTCTGCAATGTTAAAAGATTCATTATAATCACTAGAGGCTCTAGACCTCAGTTAGGATAAACAGGATCCAGTAGCCACTTGTGTTTAATTTTAGACTGTTCATGTTTCCGCTCACATAAAAAAAAAAACGCCCTTGCTCTTTATAAGTTCCATAGATCTTTTGGAAATGCTATGGTGCACAGGTTAAATTATCAAAATGATACTTTATAGGTGTAGGAAAACTAAGGCTAGAATTAGCATCTTTAAAAGAATAACATAGGTCAGATAGTATAATAAAAATTAATACTGTGCTTGAATAAGAATTTCCTTCTATAAATTTTTAGAGGCCATACCTTATTTTCTTTGTATCTACTGAGATCTGCTATGCAATATTCCTTGAATAATTTATCATAATATTTCTTTGCGAGTCTCTTCTCCCTAGATCCATAAAAAAGTAAGTATTATTATGTTTAGAAATCCAACTACAGTTTGCTACTTGGAAGTGATGTCAGATACATAACTTCTATTATATAAATATTATTGTTTTTAAAGATCTACTACTTATATGTGTACCAAATATCTATATATTAACTATTAATAATCGTTCTCTCAGGGAGGGAAAGGGCTGAATCAGAAATGGGAAGGAGAATTATTCATTTTTTACCTTTTGTATCTTAGATTTTAAAAATCATTTTCAGATATTAATTTTTCCCAGATTATTTAAAAATTTTTTAAAGTATATAATAGCATATTACAATATACAGTGTCATAAACTAGTAATTATTTAAAGACTAAGTCACAATGAGAAGTCATTTTTAAAAATGACTTCTAAATGACTGCTAAAATTATCAAATGAACCAAACAAGAATCCTAAAAATGATTTTATGTCTTCAATTCAGAACTGTACTATGAATGGGCTGAATGCCTTGGATAAGTGACAAATAAGAAAACACAAAACATAAAAGACAGGACTAAAGGATCTGATGCATTATAAGTCTTGATAGCTAAAATTACCAAGTCATCTCCGTTTCATCCTCCTCATTCCATAGGAATCTATGATTTTCTCGTATAACATCTAAGTCTGTCTTGTCATTTTCCCTGGAAAATAAAACAAGTTAAATTTAATATGAAATCAAAATTAGTTAAATTTAGGAGGTTAAACAATGGTGTGAGTTTTTTTTAAAACTTGAAAAATACATAACACTAATAGTTTTTTAGGTGAATATATGTGTGCCTATATTTATAAAAATGTTTCAATATTTTCAGAAGGTAATTATAAAAAGTTCTGCTACAGAAGCAAATTAAATGTATAAAAGAATCCATCCATCCCTAGCAAGGGTTTCAATTATACAAAGGGTACTAAGTTACCAAAGCTAGGATGAGAAACCTGAATAAGCACTAAATAAGTTTCAGAATCTAATAAAAGAGAGTAATACCAGTCTACTGAGATCTAATTTTTAATAACATGGAGAGTTACCTCATTTTACTAGTTTCCTAGGAAAACTTAGCAAGGGAGGAAAAGTGCTGAAGATTATCTGTCAAGATATAGTTTAGGGGTAGAATAAGTGACTGTTGAGGGATACAAGCTAACCTGATAGGGGAGATAAATTTGGAAAGATGAGACAGTACTAAAGTTTTACAGAGCCCTATCAACTCAGAAAATTAAGTAAAATAAAGAAATCCATGTAAGATTTAAAAAAAAAAAAAAAAAAAAGCTGAAATAGAAGAGCCCTAAATACAGAAAGGACTTTTATGTGTAGAAAATTCTGGAATGAGGTTTCTCATTTGTCCTCCCTTTAAAAAGCAATCCTAAACATTAAGGTCTAAAAATATCATTGTTTCAAAGATCCTTGCCAATAAGACATGTGAGTATTACTCACATAACCTGTTATTGCCAGGGTCATACCTAGCTCAGCAGGTGAGGAGGCTACATGAGTCCTGTTGCCAAAGAAATGAGATTTCTGAAGACAGGCTTAGCTAGAGACTGTGGATGGCCTCTCCACCTTATGATATGACAAGGAAACTGGAACAGTGACAAAATCCAAAGACACAGTAGCTGTAGGTCTTAAATGTTATCTACACTTCCCCTTCCACTCTATGTAAACTTCATGATACTTACCCCAAACGCCTGAAGTCTTCTTTCTTGCCACCATAGTATAAAATATAGTCATTTACAAACTTTGTATGCCTTTGATACTGAAACGCAAGAAATTAAGGATTTTATTTGCTTAGAAGTTGTTTGATGTTATGATATATTACTAAGATAAAAGCATAGTATGAGTTTATTTCAGCTTTTCTAAATATCCAAATATATACTACACATGCCTATACATTCAAAAAATCTAGGAGGATATATATCAAATTGTTAAGAATAAAGATTGTACAGCAGAAAGACTTCCACTTTCTATTGAACACTTTTTCAAACATACTATGTGAAATGTAATGTTTGGAATATTTTTCAATCACATATTACTCTTGTGATAAAATACATCACCATCAGGGGAGAAAGAGAGCTTCCTATTCTACTGCTGGACTGCAAACAACTTTACCCCATCATTCACTCTAACAATCAAAGTAAGAAAAAGAAGTTATGACTTCTAAAATTAAAGGTAAGGAATAGGATTTATCTTTCATTATTTTAAAATATTATGTTGCTATTTCAGGAAAGATAAAGCCTTTAAATAGCAGATATACTTTTATAATATTAAATCCTAATATTAAGCTTTTGAAAAAAGCAAATATAAGGAATCAGATGTCATTTTTAATATTTTCTTTTAATACTTAAAAGAATCCATGCATGTTTATTTTCAATACAGTGTAACAAGATATGCTTTACTTGTTTTAGAGAGCTCAGTGCTAAACTCTAGAGCTGAACATGCATACAACAGAAAACTCAGCTTTTATAACTGTTTATAACGATATCCCATTAAAGATACAAAGGTGGAAATGATGATATATGACTGTAATCCCAGTACTAAGGGAGGCTATGGCAAGAGGACCACAAGTTCAAGCCACCTTGTTACCTTCCCATCACTGGGATACAATACACACATCTGCAACTAAAGAAGGAGAGGTTTATTTTGGCTCATGGTTTTACAGGATTAAGTCCATGGATGGCTAGCTCCAGGGCAGAAATATTATGGTAGAAGGGCACTGAAAAGGAAAGATGCTCAACCCATGGCAGCTAAGAAGCAAAGAAAGAAGGGAGGAGACAGGGGAAGAATACACCCTTCCAGGTCACATCCCCAGTGACCTGCCACCTCCAACCTGGCCCACGCCCAACAAAAGACTTTGGGGGGAAATTTTAGATCTAAACCATAAAAAGTCCAATCCAGGTAACTTAGTGAAACCTTGTCAAAATTTAAAAATAAAAACATTTTTAAAGGGATGGGAATGTAGCTTAGTGGTAAAGTGCCCCAGGTTGTTCTGCTATTCTATCCTCAGTCACACACACACACACACACACACACACACACACACACTCTTCTCTCTCTCTCAGACATATAGTGATTTAATTGATCACAATGTATTCTAATAGAAATACTTAATCAGAATAACACTGAGAGAGAGAAAAGGGTGGGGAAGAAGAAAGAGAGGAGAGAGAAAGAGGAAAAAAAAAGCAAGATATCCAGAGATCTTGGTTCTAGCTCTTGAACTACCACTAACTGACCATGGCAAGTCACTTACCCTACTAGAGCAAGGTCAGCAGACTTTTTCTATAAAGGCCCAGATAGGAAACACTGTGGACCTTGTAGGTCATATGGTCTCTTGCAACTGTTCAGTGGTATCATTTTAGCATGAAGGCAACCATAGACAACATGTAAATGAGTAAGCATGGCTGTGTTCCAATATAATTTTCTTATGTCCAAAAATAGGTGCTTGATGGAACAAAGATACACTTCTCCCTATTCTTCATACTAACATCTAATAACCTTGGACAGTATATGAAAAACAAATATAAAAAGACTCAGGAAGTTGGAAAGAAGTAGGTATACCAGACAGGGACTTCAGAGTAGGAGGTGAAATTGGCAACCTGGAAATGCTAGTAAGTATATACTAAACAGCCTCAACAAAAGCCTGTTCTCTAACTAAATGACCAACAGCCAGCCTAATGAGACCAGTAACTTTGAGACAATTATTCTACTCCAAATACCCCAGAAAAAAAAACAGTGCCCCCCCCCCATCCCAGAAAAAAATGCCCGGACTTCCAGGCTCACCAGGCTGTAACGAGATGCCCCAGTGCCCCAGTGGTGTCAGAGAAGCAGACTAGATGTTTAAATGCTAAAGGAATAAGTGGCAGATGAGATCCATGGTCAAGCTAAACTACTAAAAGGCATAATTATGAACATCGTGGTACTTCTATAACTTAAAAAAATTACAATGATAAAAAAGTGAAACAGATAAAAAAGGAAAAAAACAGAAACAAAATTTTTGTAAATAGGGAGGGTTGGAGGGGTGGAAGGGAGGGAAAGGGAATGGAGAAAAAACAAGAACCATGATATATCATGTACAGGTAAAAATTCCCAATGTTCAATGTGATCAAAATGCATACCTAAAATGTACCAATAAACTTAATGGAAAAAAAAAAGAAACATGACTATTGGTAGGGGATGAAATTGATATTGTCTACTCTCAATCCAGATCATAGCAATAAATACTCAGATATACATCAGGTCTTGCTTGGTCTCTCTTTCATTCTCCAGTATTCCCAGCAGCAATACGGGTGGCCAGAATAATAGCTACTGTCATGAGCCTTAGTCTTGTGAAAAATCAAGTCGAAATATGGCTTCAACAGGTAATCAGACTATAAACTGCTTATAGTTACATATGAGAGTTAAAGCCAAAGCAGACGTCAGGACAATCCATAAACAGATCTAATATTAAATACAAGTTTTACAGAAACTCTAAGTAGCCAAGATCCAGGTAGGATGAGAATAAATTACAATGAGATTAAAGATTAAGAGAAGTACACAAAAGGAAAATGATGAAAACTTGACAAAAACAAGTTGGAAAAAATATTTCCAGGTTCACAGACTTAATAAGCTTATTTATAAAATACTATTAATATGTTTTATTATTTTAGCCTCTAAATCCTTACTATGTATTAGTAAAATAAATTTACTTTAATGTATAAGATTTTATGATAAAAATTTAAAGTAGGATAACAAAGTAGATTTTAAAATATCTAGAAATATAAAAAGGATACAGCATCCATAGCTATGAGGTGAAACCTTCTATTTTTCGCTTCTTCCCTGTTTAAAAGAAAAGTTTATCTTAAGCACATTCAAATGTCTATGTTTTAATGCATATACTCAAATCCACTAGTCTCTGAGTTTATTAAACATCTTAAATCAAAGAAAGTACTTTATATCAAAATACCATACCTATCCAGCAATTCTGCTGCAACTTGCTTACTGGCCACCTTTCCATGTTTTTCTTTCTGAAATGGCTTTTTGAGCAATAAGTCGTCTTCGATTTTCCTGGTATTTTAAAAAGAAAAATTATTTAGAGTTAATTTTTCTTAAAGGTTGTTTCCTAACTCTTTATATTTTCATAATTAAGCATGTTTTAAAGAACTAGGCAAGCATTGAACTACATCTCCAGCCCACAAAATTCTTAACTTACAAAAGACAAACTAATTTTTTTTTTTTTTTTGGTACTAGGGATCAAACTCAGGACCTTGTGCTTGCAAGGCAGGCGCAGTGCCACTGAACTAAATCCCCAGCCCAAGACACTAATTTTTAATGAGACATTTTACACCTCCTTAATTTTATTTAATACCTATAGAATGGAGAAGATGAAGCCAGGCATGGGTAGCACACACATCTAATTCCACTACTTGGGAGGCTGAAGCAGGAGGATCATAAGTTTAAGTCCCAACTAGGCCACTTAGCAAGACTCTCTCTCAAACTAAAAAATAAAAAGAGCTGGGGATGTAGCTCAGTGCAAAGGCCCTGGGTTCAATGCTCAGTACCAAAAAAAACAAAACAAAACCAAATTATAAAACAGAGAAGATAAACAATCAAATGCATGAGTTTTAACATACTACATTGCTCTCTCATTGTGAAATTAAAAACAACTGCTGATTAATGCATAAAATCAAATTTCTACCCTAAACATAAAACTTGGCCAAGATGTATCCTCTTCATGATATCCAGCCTTTATGTGCAGGCAGTTCTTATTCCTTCCAATTCAATAAAGCCTTCCATGGTCTTCTTCTTTCACGTGTTCATTCATGTAAATATAAGAATCATCTTGCACACAGCTCCCAGGGCAGAAGAGGCTTCTGGGTTGGCATATCAAAGCTCCCACCACAGAGGAGGCTTCTGGGTCAATGTGCCACAGCTCCCAGTGCAGAGAAGCCTTCCAGGTCAGCATGCCACAGCTCCCAGAGAAGAGGAGGCTTCTGGGTCAATGTGCCACAGCTCCCAGTGCAGAGAAGGCTTCCAGGTAGACGTGCCACAGCTCCCAGCACAGAGGAGGATTCCAGGTAGGTGTGCCACAGCTCCCAGTACAGAGGAGGCTGCCAGGTCAATGTGCCAGAGCTCTCAGCGCAGAGGAGGCATCCGGGTCAACGTGCCACAGCTCCCAACACAGAGGAGGCTTCCGGGTCAGCATGCCACAGCTCCCAGGCCACAGAAGGCTTCTGGGTAAGCATGCCACAGCTCCCAACGCAGAGGAGGCTTCCGGGTCAATGTGCCACAGCTCCCAGCACAGAGGAGGATTCCAGATCAGCATGTCACAGCTCTCAGTGCAGAGGAGGTGAGCCATGCAGGCACCAGCAGCACTGTACCCCTCCCCCCCAGTTGAAATGAGAAGACACATAAATAAGCCTCAGACCCAGACTGCCAGATCACCTATAGCAACCCCAAAGGGAAACAAAATGGTACACTGATACTCAACCACCTGGACTCCCTGAACTAGCAACGAAAGACAATCTGGAAAAAATGAAATCAGAAATAATTTCTGACATAACAGCACAGATTATGCCCATAGTGCAAGACATGATTAATAAATCTAGAGAGAAACTGAGGAACATGATGGAATCCCAACATAGGAAACAAATGGAACCCATAAAACAGATGCAAATGGATTTCCAGGAGATTAAAAACTCCACTGAAAGTCTATGCAGCAGAATGAGCCAATGTGAAGACAGAATTTCAGATATAGAAGATAAGATTGCAATTAGTGAACAGGAAAAGAAAAATTT